GGGTATGTGTATATAATACAGCTTGTTATTTTTAAAAATTCCCTTCCCTCCCTCCAATTCCATCCTGATTTTCTATTACTAATCTTAGCTCATGTAATGGCATAAAATGTTTACCTTCACTGATGCTATTAGGTTCTGTAAGTGGCATATCTCTTTATTCTGTTTATTTCCCCTTCCCCTCATCCTCAGACTTCACTCTTGTTTCTTTAGACCACTTTCCTAGTAGAAGAGATCCGTCTCTTGTCCCCATGTCTCATTATTCTGTTTGTGCTTTGTCTCACTTGTTTGGGAGATACCACATGGCATTTAAGCTTGTGGTCTGCTCGGTTTCACTCAACTTATTGTTCAGATGCATCCTTTTCTCTATAAATATGTCAAGTTTGTGAATTTCTTTTAGCTGAGTAGTATTCCATGATGTATAGGTAATGTACATAACATGTCCAGGATTGGTTATCATACAGTGTGCTGCCGTAAGCATGAGTGTGCAGGTAACCCTGTGCTGTGGGGACTTGAGCTCTTTGGAGAAGACACCAGCAGGTAACAGCTGGGTCGTAGGGAGTTTCTAATTTCAGTCCTTTGAGAAAGCTACATACTGATTTCCATACTGGTTGAACTAGTTTACATGCTAATATTTAAAAAAAAATTTAAGTGATAGCTTTTAATAAATCTGTTGATGTAGTATTATAACAATTTCAGTGTCTAAAAAAGAAAAACCACTTAATAATTATATTATAGTGAAAACAATTTTTAAAACTTTGCTTGTAAAAATAATTTAAGGTAGCTTTCTTTAATCAAATATACAGAAGTTGGGCAGGCCTAATAATTCAGCGGACTAAAGTGCTTGTTTAGGCAGAGTGCAGTGGCTAGGATTTGATCTCTGCCAGGGCACGCTCCTGTAATCCCAGCACTTGGGAGGCTGAAAGCAGTAGAATCACGAGTCTGATCTGTGTAGTGAGACCCTCTGGGGCCGGGGACATGGCTCAGTAGGATAAGCGCTTGACTGGCAAACGCAAGGATCTGAGTTCAATCCCCGGTTCCGCCAAAAAAATAAATAAATAAAAAATAAATAAATAAAATTGAGAGCCCTCAACAATCGCTCATTGAGAAAAGGCAGTTGTTAGTGAAATTTTAGGCTGGTGAGACACTAAGTAGCAGATCTTCCTATTTTTTAGAAGCCTAGTAAAAAAGCATTTCTCCTACTGTTTCTCATACAATCTTTTGGAAGAAGTAGAAAGCATATCTTAATTGGTTTGGCTGCTTATGTTCATGTTGTTACCAGGTTTTGAGGTGTTCAAATGCCTTCTGAAGGTGGTTGTAGGGTTTTTCTGTCCTTAGCAAAGAATAGGTCAAGACAAGCACAAATGATGGCAAAAATTTTATTAAAGGTAGGGAAAAAAACAGGCTCTTCAGAGCAAGTTTGGGCCAGGTAAAAGTAGAAGAAGTGCATCTGTAGTATGAGGGTGGCCACTGCGCAGGAGTGGGCACAATGGCAAAACTCAGTGTGGTCATCCTTTCTGTGTCACTTAGCGACCAGGTTGATGTCAAGTTTCAACCACTGAATGGAAAGCCTGCTGGAGTTCTCCAGAGAAATCCTGTGCCGGACTTTGGAAACTGCTTTGTGCATGTGTCCTTGGATTTTGTGATAAGCAGGCCATACCTACTTACTAGCCAGCTTTACCACACCTGGATGTCCTGTTTGACCTTTTGCATTTGTGTAATGTGTATTGAATATTGCTTGAGTATTAGAAATACTTGTCTTAGTTTCAGATTTGCTATGGGTGAAGGAAAGTGGAGAACTTCTGTTTGTTTCTACTAGATACTGCGCTGCATATTACATGTATTTTATTTCATTTGTTTCCCCAAATCCTTAAGAGTTTGAATCATTAAATCCATTTTGGAAATAAGAAATGTGACTTTAGAGAGGGTAGGGACACAGGTTTGAATCCTGGCTGCAAACCCGTTGAGCTTCAGTTTTCTTAACTATCAAAAAGGAGTAATAATGATGAAAATAATCACCAGGCAGTAATCTTTGTAATTTCACCAATGGATCAGACACAGAAGGAATGTCCAGAGTTTCACTTCAAGAGGTCTTCGGTCTTTTATCTGCTGATAACCACCTCCCCTTCCTTTTTTTTTTTTTTTTTTTTGTGGAACTGGAAATTGAACTCAGGCCCTTGCACTTGCCAGGGAAGCGCTTATTGCACTGAGCCACCTTCCCAGCCGTCCCCTTCCATTTTAATCCATTCTTCCTCTTTTGTAAGGTATGCTTGTCACATGGAAATGAACTCTCATTCTTTTTCTCTATACAGCTTTTCCTCTCCTCTTTCCTTTTCTATTATGCTATTTTAAAAACCACTAGAAGGGACCTTATCTGCATTCTTTTAAGCAAAATTTAGCAGTTGTCTGTACTCCTTAGCTCTGCATCCTCTTCTTGAGTGAGCTTAAGCTAAGCAGGTAGGTAGCCTTCTTTATTTCTACCCTGAAACCATTATTTTTGTTGCAGTGGTTTTTTTGTTGCTAAGGCCCATGTTCAGTTCTCATTTTCTCCAGCTTCTGAACAGCTTTCGGCTCTGTTTGTCTCTCTCATTTTTTATTTTTGAGAGAGGGTCTCACTGCATAGTTCAGGCTGGCCTTGTATTTACTATGTATCCCAAGCTGCCTCAGCTTCCAAAATGCTGGAATTACAGGTGTGTGCCACCATACCCAGCTCTTTTTTATTCCTCTTAAAATGCTTTTTTAAAAATTCTTGTATCCATTTGGTATGTGTGTTAAGAATTGTGTACAAAGTGAATCATGTGTACTGATCCTCAACACAACCAATAAAAATCTCAAATATTGACTATGATGGGCTTTTTTTTTTTTTTTTTGGTGGAGCTGGGGATTGAACTCAGGCCCTCACGCTTACCAGAGAAGCACTTATTCCACTGAGCCATCTCCCTGGCAAATCTCAAATATTGAAGACAAAAAAAAAAAAAAAAATTCTTGCATCCAATACTCTACAATTATCTATTTTAGTGACTTTCACATTCCTTCCTGTCACTTGAATGTGTTCTACCCTTGCCAGTACTGCGACAGTCCGTCTGTTATTGTTTTCACTAGTTTCTTTTTAATGTACTGTTACTCTCCAAGTAATCTCATGTAGTGACCAGGTTTAGTATCCCTCTAGTTTTGTGCCGTTTGATCTGCACATTCTCCTGAACTTCAAACATGTATCATTTGGCATGTAGATATTTCCACTTGGATGTCTACTGGATTTATCTAAAACAGAACTCCCAAATTCCATCTGATTCTGTTTCACCACCATTCACCCAGTTTTAAAAGCATGGAATCTTCCTTTCTCTTAAATTTTACCTCCAGTTCCTCAGTAAATTCTGTTTGTATTATTCTTTGGGGGGAGGATGCCAGAAACCAAACTCATGGTTGCATTATTCTTGTTTGAACTGCTTAATGAGACTTTGTCTCAAAAAAGCTTCTAATGACTATGTCTGTTATCAAATCTCCACTGTTGCCATACCAGTCTTAAGTTACTTCTCTTTTCCAGATCCTTGCAGTAACCGAACTGGTCTCTTGCTTCTACCTTATGCTTCTACCTCCATCCCACTCAGTGGTGTGTTGGAGTCAACTGGTACTGCCTTGTGAGAGCTGCTGTGCACTTATCTTCCCATGTGCGCATATGAAGCAGCCATGCTAGTAGGCATGGTTGTAGTTTTTCTACCACATGCATCAGCGAACACTACCTACCAGCACCCTCCCCAGTGCTATTAACCATTTGCTAGTGTGTGGAAGTGTAACCCTCTGTCCAAGTGTGGGGTGTAGTCTAGTCTTCTAACAGTTTAGGTCGTATCATTTAGATCATGACTGCCCTGTCAGATTTTGATGGCTTTTCATTAAACCCAGAGTAAGCCTTTATGATATTCCTAAGCAGTACATGCTCTAACTCTGTGATATCTGAGAGATCTTTGTTATATGAATGGGATAGAGATGGATGGGTAGAGTCGTTTCTGTACCATCTTAGTAATCTACAATACCAGGCCTATTAATATTTTTCAGTTGAAATTAGTGCACAAAATGTACTTTATTTATTATTTTGTATTTTAGTGCAGGGTCTACAGGGTCTCACTACACAGATCAGACTCCTAGTGATCCTCCTGTTTTCAGCCTCCCAAAAGCTGGGATTATAGACCTGCAACACTAGTCTCAATCACCATCTCAGCATGCCCCGGGGACAGGGCCGTCATGGCTCCCCGGGGATCGAACCCTGGTCCCTGGGTCTACATAAGCATGTTCTTTAATCCGCTGAACTATCTGGCTGGCCCTAAAAGATGTACTTTTTAAAGATTTTCACTCATAAGGCTTTCTGATTGTTCAAAAATTAAATTTATTTTTAAATTTCTAGAACCTGAGACAGAGGTCTATTTAGATGTAGGTTTAAGACATATTATGATGTCATAGCTCTGTAAGTCCGACATTTGAGAGGCTGAGGCAGTGAGATCACAGATTTGAGCCCATCCTGGGCAACTTTAACCTTATCTCAAAGTGAAAACTAAAATGAGAGTTTGGGATATGTGCAAAAACTTTTACATTTATATTATACTACTTCATATTTTTATTTGCATTAATAAACAGACAATATATTTTGATAATGTCCTATGAAAGGTAATCCTATAATGAAGATATTTTTAGCTTTAAAATTGTAATGCTTGTTTGTATATCAGTGTTATATATCAGTGTTCTAATGTAAGCTTAATCTGAGTGCTTAAAAGTATTTATTTTGTAGTAGTTACCTATACTTCCTGCTTACGTCTTTTTTTTGCTAAGGCACAGCCATAGTGATCATTTTATGTTAAATTCTAATCCAGTAGAGTGTTAACAGTGAAGAGATTTGTTTTTGTTAATTTCCAGATATTATACTCTTAAAATAACAATGTTAATATTTTAAACATTCATTACTATTAAGACATTAATAAGTGTAAATTGCAACTGTTAATCTTCTTTTATAGGGTATATTTCCGAAATCGCTGGGTGAAGACTGTCCACCCAGTTGTCCATCAGTACTGTTTGATCTCAAGCACACATTCCACCTTTCAGATGCCACAGAAAGAAGATATTCTTAAACACCGAGTAGTGGTGGTGACTTTGAATACTTCACAGTACCTCTGTCAGTTGGATCTTGAACCTGGTATGCCTGCACAGTGTCTTCCGGGGGTTGGTGTCCCGTAGTTGGTAGGCCCAATCTGGCCAACTGCCTATTTTTGTAAATAGTCTTATTGGACAAAGAGCAGCCACCCATGCTCACTTACTTACTGTTTTCTTGTCTGTAGATGCTTTTATGCTGTTGTAGCTGATTGAAGTTGCAGCAGCAATGAATTTGTGGCCCACAAGAACTAAAATAAAAGTAGCTCTTAAATGAAAAAGATCTGCCAACCCCTAGTTTAAACATTTTTGTTACTGATACTTCATTTGTTCTCTAATTGGTCAAGTGGTATTTACTTACTAATGATTATCTGAAAAATTTAGATTTGCGCAGTGTTGGTGTCTTTCATAATTTTTTTCAAGTTTTTGTCTCAAGTTGCTTTTGCATTATATAGTATTAAAACAATCGTGTAGGATTTTTTATGACATGCTATTAAAACTGTTATATACTGAAATTGTGTAAAATCAACCTAATATGTGCATACAGATGTAAGATGACAAGTTGTTTTGAAAAATATGGTAGAATTTAACCATCAAAAAGTAGCACCACTTTAGAAGGATATTTATTTATTACTATCATAATTGTTGACACTGTTCTGTACTTCTTTGCCATCTCCTTTTGGAATTGTTTTCAGAACCAGTGACATTCTTTTGAACAACTGATTCCCCCTGGAACATAGAGACTGCTCTCTTCATTTTTGTATTTTTGGCACCTGACCCAGGGATAGACACTTGGAGGTTCTTGATAAACTTCTATTTATTTTATTGTAGTCATTTTTTCTGTATTTTTTAGGGGAGGGTCTACAAGGTGTTCAGGGTCTCACTACTATATTGGACTTGTAGTGATCTGCCTGTTTACAGCCTCCCAAGAGCTGGGATTACAGGCACGTGCCATCATGCCCAGTCTCCATTGCCATCTCAGTGTGCCCTGGGGGTGGGGCTGGCATGGCAGGTCAAGGGATTGAACCCCTAGCCCATGCACCTGCTTGCAGGTGCTTTAATCCGCTGAGCTATTTGGCTGGCCCTCTTCTGTTTATTTTAAATGAAGAAATGTTATCCAAACTTTTTTACTTTTTAATGGAGAATAGGTTTTAGTTTTTGAAAGCTTTCAAAATCCTTTTTGAAATATATCTAAGATGAATAAAGTAGATGATTAAATTGGGCAGTACCATTAAGGGTTTTTTTAAAAAGCAAAATGAGATGTGCCACTCATGTAATGAGACTTAATTTCTTGTGTATGCAGTTCATGGTTCGCTGGTTAGGGCAATTACAGAAGCAACATTTAAAAGATTTTGAACAGTAACAGCATCATTAGAATGAGTTGTATCTCATCCCAAGGGACTTCTTTGACTTAACAATTAACTTGAAATGTGTATTTTGGTATGTTTGTCTGTCAGTCTCATTACTTTATGATTATATACTGCATATTTGGCACATAGGTTAAAAACCTAAACCTCCTACACAGTGTGGTTTTGTGAGAAAAAGTAATAGCTTTGAAGAGCTACTAGAATATACAGTCATATTTACTGGAAATAAACTTGGTCCTTCTGGAAATTGCTTATACTTTATTACATTTCATTCTATCAATCCTAGGGAGGGTTATATTACATGTAAGAAAATTAACACTCATGCTTAAGTCAGTTTGATTAATTCAAGTTACCTTTTCTAGCTGAAGGTTTTTTTTTTTTTTTTTTTTTTTGCAGTACCAGGGATTGAACTCAGGACCTTGCGCTTGCCAGGCAAGCGCTTATTCTACTGAGCTATCTCCCTGGCCCCAAGCGATTGTTGTTTGTTTGTTTGTTTTTGTGATACCGGGGGTTGAACTCAGGACCTTGCCAGGCAGGTGCTTATGCCAATGAGCTACCCTGCTCTAGCTAAAGTTGTAGTCGATAATTTTATGATTTATTCAGGTCCTAGTGGAAGCCTAGATCTATTTGTTATCTAAGGAAAACAGATTTTTCCACTAGTCTAGAGTTTAGATCTTACATTTATATAGTTTTTCTTAATTATTGAGAACAAGAACACAAATCCTCCTCAGAAAGAAAAATACATGTGGCTATATCATGCTTAGGGTACATCAATAAGCAGTTAAGTTATTCATACTTATATTCTTGCTTCTAGCCATTTGTTTGGGTGACGAATGATGTTATTATCAGCCAGCCTGACTGAGAAAGTTCTCAGTTTAAAAACAGGTTGCATTGGAAGATTGTGTAAACAGATTATTTGGAACCCTCCATACTCACAGCAGTGGCTATAGAAACAGATCAGCAACTCACAGGAAGCTCGTTAGCCTGTTGTACCACTGCCTTCTAGAGAGTTTTAATCACTTTTCATTCTATTGAAAAGCTACATCTTTGTTAATAGAGAGGCTCCTCCTCTGGAGAGTGGGGTGGAGTTGGGGCTTTTTCTCTCAGTAAGTCACCAAAGAGGTTTTTTTCTCCTCCCCTCTTAGGGAAAGGGACATTTCCCCTTTTCTTGCATACACAGCATTTTGCCCCTGGGTGAGTGGTAGCAACAGCCAAGAAAGGAGGTACTTCCTCCTTTGCAGTTTTTTAAATCTGAGGAACTTTGCAAGTGTACACGTTTGACATTTATCATCTATTAAGTTTGAAGGATAGTGATTATTTTTTAAATACACATCAGGTTCAAAAAAGGTGTTTTCTCTATGTGGTCATGTGCCACTTAACAGTGTTTCAGTCCACAGTTGACATTGGCCTGTGACAATGGTTCTATAAGATTATAATGGAGCTGAGATTCCTATAGCCTCAGTGTCATGGCAAAATGAAGTGGTTGCATATTATTGTGCACATTAGTGGTGACAGTGGTGGGGATAACACTGCTGTGAAAGTATCTGTTATGTACTGGGTATGACAACAGGCAACTCTATTCCTGGTGTATGTATATATTTATATGTATATGAGATGGGGTCTTTTTTTTTTTTTTTTTTTTTGGCCCAAGCTTATTTTGCACTCTTACGCTCAAACCATCCTCCTGCCTCAGCCTCTTGGGTAGCTGGGCACTAGAAGTATGTGCTACCATGCCCTGTTACTGTATGCTGTTATCATTTTTATAATACACAGAAAAGTTTAATATTTTCCATCATTTTCTTGTTTGATTTAATCTTGTATTGTTTTGCTCATCATGGCCATAGGACCAGTCCCTTATGAGGTCCACTGTTGACTGAAGCATTATATCTATGTGGTCCCTATTTAGTCTGTATATGTAGCAGGTAGGGGCATGCAGATTTAATGTTCATGTAATGACAGAATTGCTTCAGGTCGTACCTTGTGAAATGGGCCCTTGGTACACACTGCATCATTGTATGGGAGAAATAAACTTAAACAGCCAGATTAATGAATTTGCTAATAAGAAACCCTTGTTTTAGTCCTAATAGATTATAACCTTCACCTTCTAGATTACAGTCTGATTTTCTTTAATTTCTAATATGAACTATTATTTTTTTGTCTCTGACAATAGTGACACAGCTTTGGGGCTATCAACGGTTTGGTGTTCTTTTGGTCAAAAGCCCTTTGTCTTAAACTTTCAAATCCCTTCTGTATGTACTGATTTTTTTCCCATAATTTTATTGATAAACAAATAGCAATGAGACAGTTTCAAACCAAATTGGTAGGACAGTTTCAATACTTAACACATTGCATACATCCCTCCCAGTGGTTAATTGTTGTA